GAAACGATTATATCGGTTATCCGTCTAATCGATCATTACAAGGAAACGATTTCGATTACGCTGTCCGTTTCGATTACGCGATTCTAGAAAAAAAGAAATGTCAGCAAGAATCAAAAGATGTCATGTACAGTACTACTAGATACTGTACTTTGTCATTTTCCTCGTTTCTTTTCGTTGTCCATATGTTTTCCAGTAGGGCTGTGAAAAAAAAACTGACTGTCTGCACCTGCACGTGATGTGCCACTGCATTGTGTAGAGTACCCGGTTTATCTGCATGTGTGTATGTACATGTATAATTATGTGTATATGTCAACACGGCATGCTTTGTGCTGGTCTGGCGCGACAATTTCTAGGACACAGTAATCGATATCATAATCGATAATCGAATTGATGCAAGGGTAGGTTAACCGATAGTTGAAAAGTGTAATCGTTTCACCCCTAATTGATACCATATCCAAGTCTGACTCTCACCGTGAGATCCTGGCAACAATATTACCTGGTACATGACATATTCAGACACTGACATAAGCATCTTTTTGGAACAACACGTGTGCCTATCTGCTAGAGTAATGTGACACACATGCAGAATCAGTCATAGCTAATTTTACCCCTCACTGTTGTATGCGCAGACTCCACTTCGCGGTGTCAGGTACTCTTCTTTCGGTGGGCTACTCCACTCAGGCGCTTGTCTTAAAGGACTCACATTCATCCTGCAAACCTACACGACATGCATAGTTTTCACTGTCGGCCGAAGTGCGTGCATTGCACACATTGAGATTCACTCCCTCCGTACAGGCCAGTACAGAGCTGCCCACCAATTGAGTCTGTTTTGCGTACTCAGACTTCTGATTTTCCGTATCTTGCAGTGTGTTGCGTACTGCCGTGTACATTGCATGCATACTTGCACTACAAAGTTTTTTGACACGCACATGCATGTCGGTGGCTGCATTTTTGGTAGTGTAAAACATGTGTGACTTGCACTAACGACATTATTTTTTTGTGCTACATGTACATGTTGTCGTGGTACGGCATGCACTCGCTTTGGTACAAGACTATTCATCGCTCAGCTTACACTTGCAATGCTTCTACACAGCTGATTGATCCTCTTCGATTTTCTATACCATTTGCTCAAATTCTGTAGTGCGGACAAGGAGTGATTTTCCGTACAAATACAGAAAAATATGGAGGGCTGGTACTTGGCAGCACTGCTAGTATGGTAGTGCCAGGCTAAGCGGGCTGGAAGATCACTTTTTTGGTTCTTTCAGTCATTTTGACGACCTATATTTTCTTTATCATAATCCCCGGGGTGTGACGTTCTTACGAATGCAGAAACTCAGTCTTTCTAACCGAGTCTCACGTGCACTGTGAATTTTTTCTTCTTGTTCACACTGCCATGTATCGATTCATCGCTTCTTCCCACCCGAGATCCTGTGCAACAGCGATTTAAAGATTGGCTTTATCAAGTGATCAGAGAGAGAGAGAGAGAGAGGATCAGTTGTGGCTGCTGTGACAGCTGCATAGAGTGTAGATTGGTGCAAACATCATTGCCCAGCAGAACCGTATTCATAGGGACCTGCGTTTAGAATTTGGAAGCTATTTTTTAGAATTTTTACAGGCCCAATAAGCCTGAAGAGAAGAACACCTAACTTAGACTGTCCTAACGTTATCGAACGCACTGCCAAAGTAAAAACAACATTTGAAATGGAAACTCGATTGTGCATGCATGGAGGGCATGGGGAAGAGACGGAGAGGGTGAAAGTGAAGGAAATTTGTTCCGAAATCAAGAGAATCCGAGGAACCCTTGCTGCATTCTTCAGTTCGATAACGTCAGTGGGTGCATCTCAGATGTGTTGTGTGCCCAGACATACAAGTAGGACTAACCTGAGCATGAGAGCTGCTTGTCATCATCGTGGTCAGGAAAACGAAAGGACGAACGTCAAAGATTGCTGACCATGACGAACAACAGTGCATATCCAGACGACAGACGGCTTGCCAGAATCAGTCTGGTGCATCTTCAGGAATAATAATAATAATAATGACAGTTCGCATTTCACTCATTGCATGAGGTCAACGCATCTGTTAACAATTTCGAGCCAAGCAGCTCTATCAGAAGCAGATTGCACAGCATCCAGAAGCGACAGATTAATGCATTGTAAGTCTTTCTTGACAACGTCGATCCATCTCAGACGTGGTCGTCCTCGGGGTCGTCGTATGTCTGTTGTGTTGATCGACATCAGGAGGGCTTGGAAAGAGGACGATTCTTCGCCTTCCCTCACTACATGGCCGAACCACAGCAGTCTCCGTTGCCTGCAGACTTGGGATAGTGGGGTCTGCTCGGTTCTGGCATACAGCGCTGTGTTCGAGATTCGTTGTGGGTACGTGATACCAATGATGGTACGTAGTTTCTTCCGGTGCCATACATTGACGACGTCGGTTAATGTTTGCGATAAGGTCCAAAGCGCACAATTATACAGCAAGACAGGCAATATCAGGCAGGAAAACATACACAGCCTGGAATTCAGGTTGTGGCGTTTCCATGGAATGCCTGCAAATGCCCGATTTGCAGCAGACACTCTGGCTGCTATGTCTTCTGCTGTGCCTAGCATACTCCCCAGCAGCTTCACCGATTTCCAGGAATCATCTTCCTTGGTCACAGTGAAATATTGAGTTTTTGCCACGTTCAGCTTCAGATTGTCATCCGAGAAAACGGGTTCACACACACGGACGGTTTCTTCCACAGATGATCGCTCGTTCTGATGGGCAGTGGTGTCGTCTGCGTATTGTGTGAAAGTTGCTGGTAGGTCTGACGCGGGTAGAGCTTGCTCTCGGATCTTACGCATGGAACCTTCGGCGTAAGTTATAAACATTATTGGTGACATTGGGTCACCCTGGACGACGCCGATGTTTGTTGGAAATGGTTTGCTTAGTTGTTTACCAAGCTTCGTGCGGGCTGTTGTGTTTGATACTAGGACTGCAGTGGTAGACGTTGGTGCGCCAGCAGTGGCTAACCTCTCCAGAGCAACCTGACGAATGACAGTGTCAAATGCACCGCTGAAGTCCAATAGTGCCGATGAATATGACCAGTCGCCAAGTAGTGCGCGCTCACACATCGTCCTGGCGTAAAAGACACCATCCGTGGTCGATCTGCCAGGGCGGAAACCAGCTTGGCTCTCTGCCACATATGACTGCACATGGAGTGTGTGTCGTCGAGTGAGTATTGACGTCAAGATCTTACGGACGACGGAAAGGAGCATAACGGGGCGGTAGCTTTTTGGATGTCCTAGAGGCTTGCCGGCTTTGTAGATGGGAACGATGAGGCCGCAGCGCATGTCGTCAGGACAGTACTCTGTAGCTTGAACAGCGTTGAAGAAATTCGCTTTAAAGATTGAAAGATCTGCAAAACTCCACGAGATTCGAAGGATACTACAGAAGGAGGGCGAGCAATATTGGGTCTTCAGGAATCTTCTTTCCTAATTGCATTCAGCAGTCAGCTTCGAGGTCAAGAACGCGATGATATTTTCAGAAGGAATAGTTTTCAAAAAAATTTAAATTTTGGAGAAGAAGCTTCCTTTCTAAAAAAAAGCGTTCCTTGCTTTCACGCAAGGACCGGAGGTGCCTTGCCGGACATGTCGTCGACAGCACAGTGTCGGCAGATCCACGTTTGTAGGCTGCAGACCGGGCAGACGTTTTGATCAGCCCGGCCTGGTGGTGAGATTTTGGACCCGGGAGTACTAAAAACTGCTCGCATCCCAGGGTGCTCAGTTTCGCTCTATCCGATCCAGTAAGGCTTCCAGAAAGGCCCTCAGGTGCGCGGCCTGCGGTGCCATAATATACCTCGACCTCCGGAGGGGGGTGCCACGACTTGGCGGCAACATGATCGTAGACGTGAAACGTATTTGTGTACAACCTGGCCTGAAGTATGTTCAATTTCTCAAATTCCGGTGTGTTGATTCATGAAAATCGGCGGTTGTCGATGTCACCTCGACATTTGCACATTTTTAAATTTTGTAGTTGTGGTCCTGCGAGCTGCACGCACGCACCGCCATAATGCATTCTTTGCCCTTTTTGGACGATGTTTATTTTGTTTTTGTTTTTGTAGTTGCTTCGTTGTGATCGGGTGAGTGACCAATTTCTACAGTGTACTCGTTCAATACGATGGCAGCTTGGTCTGGCTTTTCGGTTTCTCTACTTTTCTGCGATGATGGAATGCCATACCTCAAGACATTTCAGTTACATATCATCGGAAACTACAGTTCTCATCTCGGCAACAGACGAAAGAAACCTCTCTCTCTCTCTC